TTTATTAGTGACTGCAGCCCTCCGATGGCTGCTCCCTGCATACTCTGTGTACTACTCTTCAGTCTTGTATCTCTGGTCATGCTTTTGCAGAGTCTGGTTTCTGGTTTTCTCATTCTGTCAGTTGCTCTATGATGTATGTATGTTATTTTCCTCCTTATGATACACAGGCTACACTCAAGGCAGCTTGAAGGACTCCTGGATGATAGGGACTCCGGTGACCTTGAGTCTAACCTTTATACGGGGTCAGGTGCAGGCGATAAACCGRAACGCCTCACTCTAAGCCGTGTCGCCGCTGGCAGGAGGGATAACCCTGACTACTCGGCTGTATGACTAAGTGTGACAAAGACTGCCTCTGAATACACCTATATTTTTATACCTATCAAAATCGTGCGTGACAGCCTGCCGGTCCTCCAACCCACTGAGCTCGGTTCGGGGAAGGACATCTAACCAGACCCTTGAAGCAGTGGGGGCGCGACAGCGCGCCGTGGAGGCCCACGACCGGCATTAGGGCCGCAGGTTTCGATTTGAGGCAGCATTCATTCATTTATTTATTTATTTGCTCTCCTATTTTTGTCTGCTCAGACGTCGTTTTGGACTTGCAGTTCCAGGTCCATTTTTGTCCAGTAGCGGACGTCCCTGCTCCATCAGCAGGGAGGGTCTGGAGATCCGGTCGGGACCCAGACCCAGTAGGCCACATTTTGGGCCGAAGATCAGAGGCGCACGGAGGCACACCCGCAAGGCCCAACGCTACTTATAGTTGGGACACGCCATGGCAGACACAGTTCAAGTAGCTCACTTCTTGGGCGACACGTTGCTGGAGCAGCACGACACAGCGCTGCGTTAGAGGTAGAGGTGTAGGTAGAGCGAGGGAGGCGGAGGCCACACCTGCAGCGGCGGTACGTTCCTGGGCGCCATAGCTGGGCTCTGCGCCAGCGACCTGCACAGGGACACCACGCGGTCAGTACATGGCGGCAGTTACCTGCAGTTGAGACAGCGAGGAGGACGACATCTTCTTCTTCTTCCTCGTCTTGCCTTCCATCTCTTTCCCTCCCCCCTTCTTCCTCTTCTTCTTCTTCTTCTTCTTCTTCTTCTTTCAGAGAGAGAGAGAGAGGTTACAGGCAGAGGTTACATCGGGCCGTGAGGCCCAGGATCTGATTCGACATTTTGTGGCAGATGTAATGACCCGCCAAAACACAGACTGAGAACACTGCTGATTTCTGGTATTTGCGCTGGAATGTATGTCTTGCTGAGATTCCCGCATTCTGCTGTGATTTCTAAGTTTGTGTGTGTGCGTGCCTGTCTGAGTGCTTGTCGGTCTGAGTGTGTGCCCACGACACTCAGAGCAGCGGGAAAAACACTCAAGTAGCAGGGGTAGGCCCACGACACTTAGAGCAGTGGGAAAAACACGCAAGTAGCAGGTATGCCGGTACCACTCAAGTAGTGGTAGAAGTGTCGGGTACTTGAGGCTGAGCAGATGAAGACAAAAAGTTGGCATTTTTAGAGGCCCGATAGCGGTAGGCTAGAGGTAGGCCGGTACCAGTCCAAGTAGCCTGGGTCTAGGGCCTGTACGGGCGGATATCAGAGCCTGCAATGATGTTTCCCTCTGAAAGGGAGGAAGTACCGGTTGTTGGGAGGCCGCGCTGCCTAGGAAGTCACCGCCCAAGAGGCAAGTAGGCCACTATATCTTCTGGCGACATACTGCTGGAGCCAAGCGCAGGAGCACTGCCTGGAGGAGGAGAGCAGTTGGGTGCTCAGCCTGGCTATGGCGAGCAGCCCAGCCTGAGGAGGAGGAAGAAGGGGGGCGAAGGAGGAGAGTGGCTAGGTACCTACCTGGCTATGGTGGACACCATCTTCATCACCTTTATAGGCGCTGCATCTGGAAGGCCCCAGTTGGGGTAGTGCCGCACCAAGGAAGCTTGAGGCAGAGTCAGGCATGGCGGCCTGATGAGCAGCGACATATCTGCTTTGTGTTGTCCTTTGGACAGGAGGGGGAAGATCCCTTAGTAGTCCTCCATAGCCCTGGCATGTGAGAGGAGGAAGAAGAGGGAAGCCATGGCTATGGTGGACCTGTTGTTGTGATGGCGGTAAGAGGGAACTTCGGATATTGATTCTGGTTTATCCACTCATTGTTGTTATTAGTATTGGGAAGAAGAATAAGATTGAAGGAGGAGGAGGAAGTTAGAGAGAGAAGGGGGATTTGTCATTGGTCTTGCTGGTGCCTTCATTTCTTTCACTCTTCATCTTCTTCGTCTTCTTCGTCTTCTTCGTCTTCTTCGTCTTCTTCGTCTTCTTCTTTCTCTCTTCTTTGGTCTCTATCTCTTTGCAAGTGCCTTTATTTCTTTCGCAATTGGGTGGCGTTGTCTTTTCTTGAGAATTTGCACTTTGGAAATGACCAGGATCGTAACACAGACATTGATTGGACATTCGGCAGGGAGACTATGTTTGGACATCGCTATCGCGATCTTGGTCTTCTTCCTCATCTCCATCTTTGTCTCGTCTCTCCCCCCATCTCCTCATCCATGGTATCTCCCCATGTGCGTGATCAAGGAGGGACCTTTCCTCTATGCATGCGGTCCCTCCTCTCTCTCTCACATGTGTGGTGTATGATGGGGTGCCGCGTCGGTATCTGACAGGTCAGGTCATATCTTTGAGTTTTCCGCTGCGCTACATTGTACTATTTTCATATGTATCTGGACGTACATTGCTTGTTGATGCTTTGCTGGCACTGCATTGTCCATTTAAGTCCTTGTCATTACTTTGCGGATCCTTGGCTCCCCATACATCGCTCAACTGAGCGTGTTGCGAGGATCAGGGTCCTCGGTAGGCCTAAGGGGCCCTGTTTGCAGCATTGCCCGCCCTAAGTGAAGGCGGAGGTGCCCGCCCTAAGTGAAGGCGGGCCTAACATATCGCAAGAGGCCCTCAACTGTCAATTTCGTATTTGGGGTCCAGGCAGTTGCGACGCGCCAGTTGGTTGAGAGAAACTCAGGCCGGGCAACAAAGACATTTCCATGGCCCTCCGGGCTTTTCCAAAGAATGCAGGCCCTGGGCGTGATTCGCAGCCTCATACAGAGACAGTTGGGCGCCCAACCGAACGAGGCCCAGCAGCCCAGTAGCTGCTGTACACAGGCAGCCTCCTGGGGCCTTCCGGAAGCTTCTGGGCCCAGGCCAATGCAGCCAGGATGCACGAAGCAGACCAGCTCTTTCCATAAAGGAAGGAGCTCTCCCCTGGCAGAGCATTCAGGCACTCGCATGCTAGTGGCAGCGCTGCTGGAGCAAGAGCTCGCGGCTGCTGGCTGGCGCTGAGAGGCGAGGTGCAGCACATGCGGTCGTGCAGGGAAGAAGGGCGCTGCTGAGGGCAGCGCCATAGCCCAGCCACCATTGCTGGTGGACTTGGACTACAGTGAGGCGCAGGGGTGGTCTTCGGGTGTAAGAGAGGACAGACATGGGAGTAAAGACGGGATAGGTGAAGGATGATGATGATGATGATGTGAGGGCACTTACCTTGTATTGGCGATGGTCTGCATGGGCGACATCTTCAAGTACTTCAAGTTGCTGCTGATGTCAACAGTTGCATTGTCAATTAGTAGGCTGTAGTAGCTGTGTTAGGAGTAGGCTGGGCGCTGAGCGCCAAGTAGGAGAGTGAAGGGACTGGACTCTTGTGTTTTTGAGGAGAGAGTATGCTCTCCATAACATTGGTTTTCAGTGCTATGAACCTCCATTGGTGTATTATTGGTGCAATGCTGCTCTCTGGACACGGTGTGACTATCTGGCTTTCAATGTGATGGTGTAATCTGGAATTGTCATCTTGCTGTTGCTTATTTTCCTTGCAATGTAGTTGTGGTACCATTTTGGCGCCAGGCATTTTTGGAGAACGCTAGTTTGGGCGCCAGCACTTTTGAGGCTGGAATCACCTCTGACCGGCGCTATAGATAGCGGGCCGACCAGTGAGTCCATAGGTAGTACTCGTAGTCTTCAGTAGTCAACGCGCTGGACGCAGTAGCACTTGAGTAGAGCGCGGAGGCACTGTTGGAGGTTGACGGCATCAGCTCCACAGCAACAGGAGTAGGGAGTAGTGCGGTGTTGGGCAGAGGACAGGGGACTCACCTGAGGACTTACCTGCAACGCCATAGCTCCAGCTTCGTCTTCAGCTGCAGGTTAGTACCCGGGGTATAGCACAGAGAGAGAGAGAGAGAGAGAGAGAGAGAGAGAGAGAGAGAGAGAGAGAGAGAGAGAGAGAGAGAGAGAGAGAGAGAGAGAGAGANAGAGAGAGAGAGAGAGAGAGAGAGAGAGAGAGAGAGAGAGAGAGAGAGAGAGAGAGAGAGAGAGAGAGAGAGAGAGAGAGAGAGAGATTCCTCTTCCTTTCTTTTCTGGTTCTCCTCCTGCCCTCCATCGCTCCTCCTACCCCCCTCCCGGAGCTCTGTTCCTTCTTCTTCTTCTACTTGGATATGAGAGAGAGAGAGAGAGAGAGAGAGAGAGAGAGAGAGAGAGAGAGAGAGAGAGAGAGAGAGTGGCGTTGCGGCTATGGTGACTTCTGGGCTTTGCCCGTTACAGTGACATTGCGACTTCAACATTGTTGAGCGGTGACATTGGGGATATACTGGAGACTGGGTTCATTGGGCTATGGTGGCTGATCTTCCCCCTCTCCTCTTCTCCTTCATCTCTTCTCCCTTCCTTCGTCTGTGGATGTTGTGCCAGCGCTCCTTCCATGTATGCAGCGCTGAGTCTCTCCTCACCGGGATGATGATGACGAGTTGCAGTCAGTCCTGGTATTTCAGTCTTCCGCTGTGCTCTCTTGCATCATCTCTGGGATTTTGTTTCCTTGGATTGGTTCAAATTATCAGTATGTTACAGCGTCTGAACTTTCTCACTTTCAATTTCTTCAAACAAAAATTGTGTTGGGTACCTGTGAGTTCTCCCCCTTCTTCAGGAATGACTGCAAACTGGCTGAATGTGATGAAATTTCTGCTGTTGGTTTCTGATGTGTATATGTGGCCTTGCAGTCTACATCAGAAGCTGACATGGAGGAGTTAATTGATAAGGCTCTTCGTGTTGGTCTTCCATTCGAGAAGTTGTTGAAGTTGGAGGCAGGTATGTGGGTTTGTGAACTGCTGGTGTTTTCCATCCATATGAATATTGGAGCTCCATGGGTGGAAGCAGCTTTGGTAGCAGCTTTGGATAGTGGCTAGATGCTAAGAGCCTCGCTCCACTACACAGCATACTAAATGTATTAGACGGTTTAGAGTCTTTAGACCTGTTACAGGTCTGACACATTCAAAAATGTTCGATCAGGCCAAACGTATTCGGTCTGTTTGCCAGTGTCTGTTTGCCACTCCAGATACTTGTTGTTTTGTGACAGTATCCTTGTTACATGCTGCGCTTGCAACGGGCTGCACGGGCCATTTTCAGGCCCATGTCGTTTTCAGCCCGAAAGCCTGAAAACAAGGGCCTACAGGCCCTGTGTCGTTTCAGCCTGAAAGCCTGAAAACAAGCGCCTACAGGCCCTGTGTCGTTTCAGCCTAAAACAGGGCCTTCCCGGCCCTGAGTCTTTTCAGCCTGAAACGGAGGGCCATTTTCAGGCCCTCATAAGATCGACAGCACCAGACCAGGGTTTTAGCACAGGCCATTTGGGGCCTGTTTTCAAGACAACCTTTGTTTGAGCTTCAACGCCAGGGTCTGGCACGTCTTGGCATTGGCAAGAGCAGCCTCCTGGACGGGCCAGCACTATATAAGACTGGCCCGCCCTGCAGGCTGCAGGTAGTTCCTAGGTACTTCCCAGGCACTTCACGTGCAGTTCAGGAGGCAGGAGGTGGTCTTCAGGATTCGGCAGCAGCACTCTGGAGGAGCGCTGCAGGAGTAGTAGTAGCGCTAGCAGTAGTCTTTAGCGCTGGGCGCTAGTAGCGTTAGCAGTAGTCTTCAGTGCTGGGCGCTAGTAGGAGCTAGAGTAGTACCGGAGAGAGAGAGAGAGAGATTGGGTGGAGGCCAGGGAGACTTACCAGCAGCGCATAGCTTCAGCTTCCTCTTCGAGGTACCTGCAGCACAGCGCCATCTTCACAGGTTAGTACCTGGCATATGAGAGAGAGAGAGCGAGTTCTCCTTCTTCCTCTTCTCAGTCCACCATCTCCCTCTCACCCTCTCGCTACCTGACTTTACTGCATCAGCAGACTACGAGAGAGAGAGAGCTTGGTGACATTTGGATCCAGACTCGACATGGGCTTCAGACATTTTGACGAGGGAGTATTTGGGACTTGTAACGAGTACTTGGTGTTGACGACTTTCCCATCTCCCCTCTCCTCTTCTTCGTCTGTTTCCCTCCTCTTCGTCTGTGCATGATCTGGACCTGGCGCATTCTTCCTGTGTGTTGCGCCAGGCCCCTTCACACCTTGTGATGAGGATGATGTATGTTTGGTCTGTACTACGACATTGATTGGGCTAGTCATTGGTATTCTAGCATTCCTGCTGAGCTGTCTTGTACTACGTGAGAGAGGTCAGTCCCGGTTAGGTCAGGACTTGTATCTAAGTCTTCCACTGCGCTATAAAGCACCATTTTGTATGCATCAGGATGTACACTGCTTGTTGAGATTCTACTAGCATTGCATTGTCCATTCAGTCCTTTTTATCACATTGCGAATCCTTGGTTATATATGTACATCGCCCAACTGGGCATGTAACAGTTGGTATCAGAACACCGCACGTGAATCAGGACAACCTGATCTGACACGTGTGCGGGAACTAATTAGTTGATTAGTCTTGATTGATTGATTTGTAATAACCCTGTTCAGAAGTAGCCTGGCGCTCATAAATCAGCCCCAGGCAACGCCGACCTGAGTTGGTCTGCGCTGGGCTGTGTGACCAAGACACGCCCAGGCCTGAGTCTGTCGCATATGGTTGTGTGACCGAACACTGCACACAGGAAATTCAAGGGTCAAAGTCAACTGTAGAGTCAAAGGTACCACACCCAGGCCCCTGGTTGGATGCACTCACTTGTTGTGCGCAGGTACCCAGACAGCATCCAGGCCAGAGGGAATTCGGTTTCGAGAACAATCTGGGCCCTCGTTTGCATGGAGATTTGGACGATTGAGGGATGCAGCATCCGGGTCCAGACCCGGCGTCAACGCTACATAAGCGCCGACTTCCTGTCTTTGACATTCATTCTGTCTTGCGTTGATGCTGACTTCATGCGTTGACTTAAACGCTGGCTCGACGCTGCGACGCTGGCATTGTGATTCGGCGAGACGCTGCTGGTCCGGCATGGTGGCTGGCTTGCTCCTGTCTTCTTGGCATGGCAGCTGCCATGCACTGTCGCTGATGTGGCTGCTGCCACGTGTATCATTGGCTGACGTGGCTGCTGCCACGTGCTCTATGGCTGGGACTACGTGATCGGCATTGCTGTTCTGTTTCATCGTCACTTCAGGAGGAGATCAGGACTGTGGAGAGTTTGTGGATACATACCTGGCTGTCTTCATGTCGACATTGCTCCAGTGTTGATGTGGGACTGATTAGACGTGCCACATGGCACATTGAGGCTACTTAGGATACTCGTTTAGACTATTGATTATTGAGGTGGTAGTAGAGGAGGGAGCCCGAAGCAGGAGTGGGCATTGTACTTTCCTCTCGTTTGTCTCATCTCCCTCCTCTCTCTTCGTCTGTGTATGATTACCTCATCTCATTCTGTCTGGTTACGATTTTGACTATTAGTAATCATCAGCCGATGGACATTTATCTGGGCTTGCATTGTTGACGATTGTCTTCACGATCTGGGTTCATTGCAATTTGGTATCGGAGCAGTTCTCCTGATGACGATGATTGTACATGTGTGCATGCGCCAGGTGGCGCGCAGGTAAGTGTAGATCACATGTGTGTTGAATAGGTAATGACGTACCAAAAGAGATACAGACTTCACTGGGAAGAAGCCGGGAATGCTGACGTGGCACAGACTTCACTGGGTAGAGCGGAATAAGCCGGGAATGTTGACGTGGCACAAACTTCTCTGGGAAGAAGACACTGCCGGGGTTGCTGACGTGGCACAGACTTCATTCAGACACTGCTGGTGAGTCAGAGCGAGTCCACAATTCAGCTTTGCAACAGTGGGCTAGGAGGCCATAAGCTGGGCTGTGGATACCTGGCTTGGCCCGATGCCAAGGGAATGCCCCTGGAGACACTGCTCCCGAGAGACACCCCGATCAGAGTGATAGTAGGAGTCCACCACCTTGATCAGCCAAATGTCGGATTTAGACTGGGAGAGGCTCAAGATGCCTCCTTCCTTTCTAGCAGGCGGACCAGATCACCATATGATGACCTGAGGAACGGCTAGCCACTCTAGGGTCCGAAGTTATCTGCCACTATGGCTTAGACACTCTGCTGACCCGGCTAGCCTCTGGACCTTGTGAGAACCTGCTTCAGGGAATCATCTCTTGCTCAAGAGGCGCAGTTGAAAACTCTCCGCCTCTTCATGAAGGACGCAAGTGCTGACACCGCAGGGGACGCCACTGTGGATAGACTCGCCGGGGAACCGTTGCGAGAGCCCGACGGCTGCAGTGGGAACACTCCTTCCAGTATGAAGAATGCAGCAAGCCTCAATCCGCTGTGATGCTAAGTGATCTTTGCCCGATCACATGATCGGACAGATCACTCCATCGATTATGACACATGACTGATTACCTATCCCTTTAGAGCTTGGTAGCGTTTAGCCGCGAAGGCCCGTCTGGAGAGGAACTCGACGATGCTGAGTCCCTTGCCAAGGGAACACTCCACTAGGCTAAATGTCACCCTCTTTCAGAGATAGCTAATCAATTTGTGCCAGATGATGCTAGGCAATCCTCCTTACGCAATCGTACTAGAAGGTTGCCCCATCAACTGAGCGCTGACTTATGAGAGGAAGAAAAACAAATTTTACTTTATCCCAACAACCATTCATTTCATAAATGTCATTCAGACTAAATAAAATACAATAAGAGGCAAGAACTGAACCCCCATAAACTGGCTCCCAATCCCCCAGGCATGTCGCAGGACTGACACATGACAAGCCAGATACAATGCAATGAACTGAAATTTTAAAAGTTTAACTCACATACATGCAAAACTGGGGCCAATCTAGGCCCGACAGACACATAAGTCCACCAATGAGCCGAGCCATCATAGGCTGCTCGTATCCAGCTCTGCTGGCGGCATACGGGCCACGTCCCAGCACATAATCATCATCGATAATTGATGGTTCACTGGACACGTCCCAACTCATAATCATCATCGATAGCCGGCGGCTCACTGACCACGTCCCAGCAAATAATCATCATCATCTGTAGTTGGCGGCAACACTGTCCACATCCCAACTCATAATCATCGATAGCTGGCGGCTCACTGGCCAGATCCCAGCAAATAATCATCATCTGTAGCTGGCG